CGGTATTCACGGGAATGGGCTGGCTGACACTGCAGCTAAGTCCGTCTGCTCTGGTGTCATCACGGCTGTGCCTGTCCCATACATGGCTACAGTCCTGTCTTCAAGGCGTGGCTTCGTGCCACTTGGCAGTTGACTTGGAGTGAGCAACGCCATAACAAGCTTTTCCAGATCAAACCTTCTGTTGGTCTTTGGCCATCTTGCTTCCGTAAGGAATGGAAGGAGGAAGTAGTCCTGGGAAGGCTACGCATTGGTTGGTCATAGTTTTTAACCCATCATTTTCTTTTATCAGGTATTGACCCACCAATGTGTAGCCATTGTGACACTCAAGTCACAATAGCTCACATTTTACTGTTGTGCCGTTGTTACAACCGTGAGCGGTGGCACCATTTTAGACACATTTTTTCTAAAAGTTTACCCGTGATGCTGGACAGTGTCATTGGTAATTGTGACACTGTCTGATTAGATTGTATTTTTAATTTTTTACACATTATATGTCTTATTAATTCTATATAAATCTTTTACTGACATGTATTGGTTTTAACTCGCTGTATTTTTACATTTTACTTTAATTTACGTTCATTGTTTTTACCAGTTGTTTGGCGCAGATTGCCTCGCTGCTTTGTGCACTCTGACCTCCCTTTTCAGGTCATGGGTAGTGGAAGCCAGACTCCTTCAATTGGCCTGCATTGGGAGGTTTTTGGCAGTTGATCCATTAGTTCTGAAAATCATTTCAGTAAGTCTGATCATCTACTTCAATTCATTTTCCCAATGTCTCACAATCCCGTTTCTTTTCCACCTCCTCGGAATCCCATTTTTTGCTTGCTTCACTCATTCTAGGAGCCTTCGTTTCCAATTAACCTTTAATTGTTTTTAACAGTGTACATATACAGAGCTTGTATGGACATAAATCTATGAGCTATGTGAGAACCACTTACAATTTTGCTGGTTGTTTCAGGTATGTAAAAATACGTAGAATATTGAAAGTGAAAGTTTTATTGAACGCGTAAGTGATATTTTTAACAAAGATTATTTTGTTTCCAGATGCTTTGTTTCGAGACTGGAATATGTACGGAAGTTTGTGATACCACGGAGGCACTTATCTGCCCCTCAGGTACTATGTGCTGCACACAGGACAATATATGGAAGATTTCCATATGTTCTGTGGATGTATGGCTGCTGCTGCTTGCCTTCTCACATGACAAATCAGTCATCCATCCTCAGTTTCTTTTCCAGGACACTATTATGGTGAGTTGGCTTGTCAAACAGGAGCAATTTTTCATCACCCCCACAAAATGTTTTGGTTCATCTTGGGGTGCTTTTCAACTTCCTCCTCCATTGGACCCCACCTGCTCCACTTCATTTTTAAGCTATGGAATGTTTTATATGCAACATCTCATCTTTTCCTACTGTGCAAGAGTTTCTCTCTCTTTTAGGAACATGGGCTTCTGTTGAAGTCCTCATTCCTTTTGGTCGCACCCTCGTGTGTCATTGTCAGTTGGTTTTGATAGACCAGTGGAGCCTTGTTTGGGATTACTTGGATGCTCCTCTTACCCTTCCTTCTCTTTTGCAGACTGACCTTGACTGGTGGTTGGATCGGAACAATATAACCATGGGTGTTCCTCTTCCTCCTCCTTGTTTGGAATTTCACCATTTACAGATTTTCTTTTGGGCACTTCCTAAAGGGAGGTCATCTTCTCACCAGCCCTTCACCCATTGAATGTGGGATTGTAGCTTTTTGTGAGAGGAGGTAAGATATCGTATTGGAAAATGTTAACTTTGTAAACACATGATACAACATTTAAGGTCTCAACATTGTCCTGTACATGCTTATAAACATGTAAAACAATAGGGAATTGTCTGGTTTAACAAGATTGGAAAAGTGTACACAGTATTGTTGAAAAAAGTTACTGTTAAGTGAATAAATATTTTATTGTTTCTAAATTTTTAAGGAATGCAGTTGCCTTGTGTGTATGACACATTTTCATGTACAAAGTTTAGGATTAAAAAGTAACTTAATTATAAATTATTGTACCTTAAGTCTCAAGACATGGTTTCCTTTGGCTTTTGATATTTTTTGACGAATGAATTATAAAGCCAATTTCTTATGTTAAATCTAAATATATTTCATTAATTTTAACACAAAAATATTTTTGAATTGATACTCTGTCATTTTCTGACATTTATTTTGCATAATTCTTGAAGAAAAATAATTCATATTTTCAACTCTACACAGCTGCAGTAAACAAAACAACCCAATTGTCAATTCTTTTTTAGAATTTTTCTACCCATTCCTAAGAAATCTTTTAAAAAAGCCTATCATCACTTGAGAATATATTATTAATTTCTTGATTTTCAAGCATTTCTCTTAGTTTTAGTACAGGCCTTGAACCTTCGTTGAAATTTATTCATGGTACCACATCAAGTGATTTGATCATTTACTAAAGAAAAACAGCTATAAAGAAAGTGTAAATATGATTGGATACTATGGATAAAGCAAAATTTAGACTCATGTAATAGTAGTAAAATAAATATATAGGTTTAATTTCTTTTACTTTTTTTTCCCTTTCAATTCCTTTTGTTTGTGAACTGTAAAAGTATTTGTGTGTTTAAAAAGTACAGAAAATTTCTTCAATAAGAAGAGGTCAGATAACTTGGGATAAGGTTAGCTTATATATGCAATAAAGGGTGTACATGTACTAATCACTTATAATTTATTAAGAAGCCTGTCAATTAATTGAGTAATAAATTTTGCTAATTGCACAGCTTTATTCATTAGTCCAACTTATGCTTTTATTTGAAGGTGACAACAAGTCAAGAAATGTTTCTGTATAAACTTTTGTTCTGTAACAGTGAATCTTAATTTCATTTTATTTTACTTTACACAGTATTGTTTATTTTTCTACTATTAAAGTGAACTTTGTTTGTAGGTGAAGCCATCTTCGATATCTGTTAGTGACATGAACAATGATGAAGCTAAGCCTGTTGTTGGTGTTTCAGTTACACTGAAAAAAGATGATTTGGTATGATTTCATTTAAAAACTACTATTATTTTTTAAATGGTTTTTCAACATATTCATAAACTTTATATAATTCTTATTTTATTGAATAAAAATGTTTTCTAGTGTTGAATATCTTCATCCCTGTAGACACGTAATTCTTGGTTCAAATTATTTGAAGGTTTTTAACCCTATTGCCATGGTCATTCTTTACTGCATATGACACAAGGTTTTAGGGTCTTACATTCAAAATTTTATTATACTACTTTTTGTTCATGTTATACCATAATTCTACAAGGGAATATTTTTTCAAAATCCTGAATTTCCACTAGTGTGACCCACATGACACATTTTGTCTTAGCATCTCATCATCCCTGTTTTATCCATCACCCCTTGAAAATGTATGAAATTAAACATAAAATACTCTCTGTAAAATTGTTATTGTTCAGACAAACCATAATTTTTATACTCTTCAATTTTGTTTGGTTACAAAGCTATCGAATAGGATATCAGACCCCTCCTGCGACACCCACATGTTACATTCTCTATTTCACAATTCATTGATAGTTCTCTTTTACGTTTCATTACATATTAGCTATAACCAATAGAAAGTCAAGGTTTTCATATATCAAATGATGTTTTGTATAGAGTTATGTTCTGAACAGTTAGATGTCAACTTCACTCAGAGTACCAACATCTTTCCTTTGGGAAAGTTAAGGACTAGCTTGGATGAATTCATAACAGCTCTTGTTGCATAGTTTGTAAAAGTAACTAAAATGTAAAAATACAGATCTTTTAAAGTTATCTAAAACTAGATTAGGTAAATTAAGTAATAATAATAATAATATAATTAAAATGGTTCAAGAGGCATGCACGCGATCAGATCATGGACAATGTAATTCAATAGCGTAATGTGTGAGCTGCATGTTCCCTGAGTGATTTACAATTTATAATGGTGCGGATAGTAATTAGACAAGGTTCAGAGGGCAACAAAACAATAAAATATAATTATAAATAAATGTATACTGTTATGCATTTAAAGCTATTTAGGACTAACTTAGAGCTACTTGGGATAAATGAATGTAGTTTCATGTTACAATTTGAAGTCATTATAGAAAAAAAAAAGGCTAATTTAGGTTTATTTCAATTTTTTATTTAGGTCGGT